ACAGACAGACAGACAGACAGACAGACAGACAGACAGACAGACAGAGAGAGAGAGACAGACAGACAGAGAGAGAGACAGACAGAGAGAGAGACAGAGAGAGAGAGACAGACAGAGAGAGACAGACAGACAGAGACAGACAGAGGCAGACAGAGACAGACAGAGACAGACAGAGACGGACAGACATACAGACATACAGACAGACAGTCAGAGACACAGACGGAGGCGCAGACGCAGACACAGCGCAGACGCAGACACAGGCGCAGATGCAGACACGTATAAAGACGGACAGCCAGACAGCCAGACAGCCAGACACAGGGACACGAAGACACACGGACACACAGAAGCACAGACACGCAGACAGAGACACGCACAACCAGCACAATGGGGCTTCCCAGGGCGGCGGGATATCGTAACTTTGCAGTCGCTGTCCAGCATGCAGGCGACTTGTCATCCGGGCTTCGGCAATTCCTGACGGGAGTCTTGCCGAAGTGCGTGAACGCTTGTATAGTGCTGTCCTGTCCGGCTCTTTTCGTCGGGTGCGGCTTCCATGTATAGTCTGCCGCTTAAGGAGGTGCAGGTTGTGTGCGAGATCTTCAGTCAGCACAGCTGCACCTCCTCTCTTTGCAGCTGCTGGCGTACGGCAGCTGTTCAGTTTCAGCTTCTTGCCTGGTCCTTTCACCATGCCAGTGTGTCAGCACGTGTTCTCAGGTTTCTGCTCACAGCTCTGAGACTCCAAAATCCCAAATCAGTGTAGCAGTAGTGTAGCAATGCGATCCGTTTTCCTGCAAGTTCCGGCTTCTTCTGAATCGGAGTTGGCCGTCTTGCGGCTCCCATGGTGAAAGCTCACGGAGGACAGTTGGAGGTGTCTGGTAGTCAAGAAGCCAGGCCCCACCTGTGTTACGTGTCTAGACGCTGCGTTCTGATGGCCCGCAGGCTGGCACTTGCAGGGTTCGTCCCGCAGCCGAAGCCTTTTCCAAACGCCTGCTTGGAGGTCGTCGCGCGTGGTTCGAAGCTGATTTTCAGCAGGTTTTTGTTCTTAGAGCCCCCCAGCTCCGGACATGTAAAGTGCTTGGCCTCGCACGGTGAAAGTCTGTGATGCCGAGACTTACTGGCCGCCGACTTGTCTTCCAGAGCGGGATGCGAAATCCTTCGCGCAAGGATCTTGCAGACCGTTCGCAGCAGCCGTTCCGAACAGCGGAGCGGTGATTCCTGCATGGACGGCATTAGAACAGTGTCGCCTCGGGATAGTGATACTGGAGCTTTTTGAAATTCTCTGTGCTGCCGGCATGGCTTCGATAGAAACTTCGCAGCCATCAGCTGGCGGTCATGAGCTCATTAGCAAGCGATCGGCTTGCAAAAGGCCTGTGCTTGGAAGAGCCCACGGCAATCGAAAGACTCTGGGGGAAGCTGTGCGACAGACAATGTTGCACAGATTCTCACCTAGTCCGAAGAAATTCTTCGCGGAGGCTCTCATGACTACTTGGAGCTTCCGCACGAAGCGACCGTCATAAACCAGCAAGCAAACTTCAGATTTTCTTATATTGCAGCATTGTTGCCATAGCTGTTAGATTTACAGGTAACAGGTCTAAGTCGGACACGAAGTGATGCTGGTCGACCTGCGAGAAGGGCCGAACTTGGCCGGCGCACCTATGAACCTTTGCGCAGAGCGTCCATCAGTCCATCAGAAACCTGCTACTGTAGCCTCAGGCTGGCGTTATAAGGGAAACGAGTCTCTATGATCGATCTGAGAGAAGGGAAACGAGTCTCTATGATCGATCTGAGAGAAGGG